TTTGGAATTGGTGTGAAAACTGAGGGAATATTCTAAATTGTTGGATTGAAACCGCTTAATTGAACATCCGTTTATCTCTGCAAGGCAAGGTTTTCTCAATTGGACAAGTTGCATCATGTCAATAATTATGTTATGCGGTTCAGCAACTACAGTTCTTTGTTGCACCGTCCATGTTTTCTCCATGGTGAACAAAGTTGCGGTCCTCGTCGTTTTGATATAACTTTTAATGCTTACTCTTAATTCATGGCGTTTTGTTTAACCCCTGTAGTTTGGGGCTATGGCGTACTGGCCGTGTTCATCATCAGCCTTTGCGCCATAGCCGGTGTGGCTTTCCTTCCGTGCCTTAGTACGGACGTCTATCTGAAAGTCTTGCAAACTATGATGGCTTTGGCTGTGGCTACCTTGGTAGGCGACGCCGTAGTGCATCTCATTCCACAGGTATCTATAGTGTCATCCGTACAATAGATTGTGCTGCGTCTTCAATTGCCCGTAGACCCCATGCATGGTATTACGGGTATTTCGTTTGATATCCTTGACACTCCTGGGTCATCTTTACCACGACAATTTCTTGCTTGTCATCTCTGATGCTAGGCCTGTAAAATGCGGGATTTTTGTGGTTTTCGTTTCACTGATATATTATTACAGAATTTTTTTCATCGGCAGTGGAATTCTTGAACGCTATAGTCATTGCAAAGAGCAGAAAAGTCGTTTTCATTCAGCCAGTAAAGGACACCCACTGCCACGTTTTGCGTACAGATAGATCCTGTACATGTGTATTACTTCTTGACCAACAGGCTGTAGGACTTCACGCGCACGATGCGACAGCAGCCGGCGTCACGCATGATCCAGGCTCGGAGGACCTTGCCTACATCTGGAAGTGTCTGGTGGTTGTCGTTGCTATCTACGCCTTCTTCATTTTCGAGTCTGTCATGCAAATGTTTGGTGTGAGTTTCGCCTCAGCGTCGTATTTCATTTTGGGGGCGCCCAATCGTGCTACTTACTCCAGTCCTTTTTCTGTTCGCTTAACTTTTCAAATATCTCTTCTAAATCTGACTCTGACAAAAAAATGATGGCCATTTTTTCATAGGTTGCTTTCACAAAATTTCTTAGATGAGGTTTTGCATTCAGATTGTCAGTCGTGGTGTCTCCAGATAAGAACCAGATGCCAAAGCTTTAGGCTTACTATTTCCCTACTTCTGTGTAGATTTTGTTTAATCCTTGGTCTCATGAATATGATATAATTGCAGCAACAATCAGGTCATCACAAATTAATCGCTACTCATATTCAAAATCAAGTTAAATCTCTAGTGGAGTCACGTTGGACACACATTAAAGTTCAACATAATCAGGCGTGCCTTTCAATCAGTTACCAAACGTCATTCCTTGTTTCTTGCAGATTGACTTGTGATTGATTGGATTATATATATCCAGATGTAAATTAACAAATGAGGGCAGTGTGACGGGAAACACAATGTAAATGACGTTTTTGTACCTCTGTCTTAATGTGATGGCGTCAAAATCTGAATCCCCAACATGTCAAGCTAAGATTTTCATGTCATTTGGCAACTCCTTTCGCTTGCTCAGAAAGAAAACTCCACGATTATATTTCTCATTCTTGCTTCAGGGAGGACACTCGCATTCCGTGGACCCCGAAGATGACCCTACCAAGAGAAAGCGAGCCTCCAGTATGAGACTTAAGGAGGCAGTGGAAGGCTCCTTCAAGAATCGCTCACCATCCACCACTAATCTGGAGCTAGCCGACGGCAACTTGCCAAACGGAGACGCCACGGACGAGCGTGATCATGTGCATCATCAGCGTAAAGTCTGCTGTGGTGAGAGACCTTTCATTCTTAGCACAGAATTGTCACATTGGACCGAAAAATGAGCAAGGCCTCACTTGTCAAACCAAGAGACTTTCACGTCATTATTTTGCAGCTATAAAACTATATAAAATCGGTAGTGAACTCCCGGTAAAGCCTCTTTAGCTGAGTTCTGGCTGCTTGTTCTCGACGCAAAGCCATCCTTGGAAATGTTCACGAACAGCACCATTTGTTGGTCTGGGCTGAAAACTGCGCTGAATTATTTTCTATTTAAAAAGGAACACTCGTTTCTGTGTTATATTAAAATTAGTAATGTTAATTTGGCTAGACATCTTTTATGGTACTGGTCCGGCCGAATTGTAAAACGTTCCCAGTGATATGTTCTAATAGTGAACAGGGCGTAAAACAAGCTAGTCGTATAGCAAACGATGACGATTACTTACTTAGCTCACATTAATTTTATTCAGTCTTTGAGGGGTTTAGAAGATTTCTGCAACATCTAATGTGAAGTTGCTGTGTCTGAATCGGGGAACCGGTTTACGTGGAATATCAAAGTTTGTCAGAATCAAAATATCAAACCAATACCACTTTTTATTTTGCCCAATTAGGAATGGGTTCCCTACCGTTTATGATTCTCATCGGGGATGGTCTACATAACCTGGGTGACGGTCTGGCGATAGGCGCCGCTTTTGCCACTAGCATTGGTGCGGGACTGTCAACCAGCATCGCCGTCTTTTGCCACGAGTTGCCCCACGAACTTGGTAGGTTGATCACACGTGCATTGAAAAAGGAGAAGAGGGGAAAATCGCTTTTTGAACTTTCTTGAGATTTATATCTAGACGACAGGGAAGTTCTTTCAAACTGAATGTATATTTACTGAACAACATGTAGCTGAACGCAGAAATTATTGATTTTTTTCACAGAGTCTTTCATGCCAATTGTAATTGTGTATCACAGGTGACTTTGCCGTCCTTCTGAGTGCCGGTCTTAGTTTCCGTAAAGCACTGGCCTTAAACTTCCTGTCTGCTCTGATGGCCTTTATCGGACTCTGTATTGGCATTCCATTGGCTGCCAATGCAGAGGCTCGAGAGTGGATCTTTGCGTTGGCAGCTGGGATGTTCCTGTATGTTGCCTTGGTAGACATGGTGAGGAAAAATTAAATTTGAGTTCCATCAACTTGCGAAGTTAATTTTGTTTTAGTTTTTCAAAAGAGAACTGTTAATCTGACACAAAGGGGAAAGTACGCACCACACTGAAGTACGTAACATCAGATGACAAATTTCATGAGTTGATGTAACAGTATCTCCATCCACAAGTCTCGCCTTTTCCGTGTAAGATGTCTTTCCATAGGCATATTTTCAGTGCACCTCAACTCTGTATGCGTAACCTGCTGAGAGTGTTCATTGCAATTCTACAGGAGTGAAATGCGACAGATAGATGCACATATGGAAAGGCGCTTTTAGGGATAAAAAGGTTACTTGCTATAACAAGAAAGACTTCTGCTAAATGGCTTTTGGCTCTTAAAGGCCTTCTCGGAACAAAATGATAATATTTTTACGCGGAGAATTACATACATTTAACCTCCAATGTTTGCTGATAGGTTTTGTTTCTAATTCTTTACTGTGTCGTTTGTGTGCAGTTTCCAGAACTTATCCATCACGAAAACAAGAACAGATTCACCATTTTCCTACTGCACAATTTGGGGCTCTTGGTTGGTGCCGGTATTATCCTTGTTATCGCCCTTTATGAAGACAGCATCAACATCAGCATTTAGAAGAGGCAACAGGTTCACTGGTATTCAGCATCAAGTGGTCTTTGTCAACATGGTCACAGAATCTTAAGGATTCTTAAGGATTAAGGGTACAATGGGCAGTAGTCAGTGGCCTAAAATTATGTGTATTATTTGTAGTGAGGTCCCCATAAGAACGTATAATATGCTTGGTTTCATACTTTTTTATTCTCAGTGTATCCAGACTCCATTGTAATTCACCGTCGATTAATACAATGTATTCGTAAAGCTAACCTTAATTCATCCTAGTTTATTTTTCTCAAAAGCCCCTTTCTAGTTTGTGTTTAAGATTCTCAGATACAAACCAGAAAGGGGCTTTTGAGAAATATAAAATGGGATGAAAACGTAAGGTCTGCTCGTTAGTTTTGTTTTACTTAGCTTTAGTATTAACCGCTGTAAATTAATTTTTGTGTCTGCAATCACCTGTCGTGTCGATCATTTGATTTTGCGCAGTTCGTTTTCAAGAAACTTGATACATTTTTAGTGTAACAAGAACATGAAAAATATTTCAAAGAGCTCTGAGAGTATAATAGAAATGTCATGACTAAAAGACATTTCTTTTGATGTTTCTCGAATATCTGTTCTATAGAGCTTTGCTATGGGTTTTAATTTCTAAAGATTGAATGCATTTATTCTTTAACTCTTCCGTTCAGTTTACTTGTTTTAAATTTTAATAAAATAGAAGAGTTTGCTATACACAAGTGAAAATATTGATGCCAGATACACAGAACCGTAACACGCGATACAAAAATGATGAGTTTGATTTGGTGATGGTTAGAGTATTCTTTTTATTGTATATACATTATGGTCAATATGTCTTCTGCTGATTCAGGCTAGTTCTATTCATATATTTAAATGGCTTAGGATGGATCATGTGTAACAGAGAACGTTGACATTGTGGTGTTTAATGAGGGTTAATATTACTAGATCATATGTATTCGTTGTCGGTATAAGTAGACATTAATATTTTGTATTCAGTAGGTCTTTGGGTTTAAAAATGTTATGCTGTATGTGCCCCTCTCGCATCCATGTCGGAAAAGTCATTTTCATGGGAAAAAAGACAGCTAATGAAGTGATGCTAAATTTTCATACCGTGCAATTTCTTGGATAGAATCGTCCATCTATTTAATTGCATTGAGTCACGTGATCACAGATCCCCTCCCTTTCGACTGTAGTTTAGAATCTTCAA